CGTTATCGTTATTACAGTTTGCGTAGACCATTACAAAGTACCGTTATCGTTATTACAGTTTGCGTAGACCATTACAAAGTACCGTTATCGTTATTACAGTTTGCGTAGACCATTACAAAGTATCGTTATCGTTATTACAGTTTGTGTAGACCATTACAAAGTACCGTTATCGTTATTACAGTTTGCGTAGACCATTACAAAGTACCGTTATCGTTATTACAGTTTGCGTAGACCATTACAAAGTACCGTTATCGTTATTACAGTTTGCGTAGACCATTACAAAGTACCGTTATCGTTATTACAGTTTGCGTAGACCATTACAAAGTACCGTTATCGTTATTACAGTTTGTGTAGACCATTACAAAGTACCGTTATCGTTATTACAGTTTGCGTAAACCATTACAAAGTACCGTTATCGTTATTACAGTTTGCGTAGACCATTACAAAGTACCGTTATCGTTATTGTTATTACAGTTTGCGTAATTATGTCAGTCATTACAAAGTACTATAGCCGTTATTACGATTTTCTCAGTCAATACTAAGTACCATAATTGTTATTACAATTTGTGTCGACCATACAAAGTACCGTAATCGTTATTAACAATTTTTGTCAGTCATTACAAAGAATCGTAACCGTTATTATAATTTGCGTCAGCAATTAAAAGTAATGTAATCGTTATTACAATTATGTTACTCATTATAATTACAATTTTCTCAGTCATTACTAAGTACCATAATTGTTATTACGGGTTGTGACAGCCATTACAAAGTACCGTAACCGTTATTATAATTTGCGCCAGTAATTAAAGGTAACGTAATTAAAATTTGCGTCAATTTTAAAAAGTACGGTAATCGTTATTAATAATTTGCGTAAGCATTACAAAGTATCGTAGTTGTGTGGGCTGGTTAGTGCCAAATAAAACAAGTTGGTTAGAATTTCGTAAAGGTTGAACGAAATTTCGTAAAGGCTGGTTATAAAAGCTGAATAGGAATTTGAAAAATTCGGGTGGAATGTAAAATTTGCATAAAAGTTCTGAGGTTGTGATGAGATGGCTAGAAAGTCGTAACAGTTGAATGGAATGTCATGAAAAGCAAATGTTTGATAGCATTTCGACAATTGTGAGTGAACATATGTGGAATTGGGAATTGGTTGGAAATTCGAAAATGTTCTGGATACACGTAAGTAGTAGGAGAGTCAACATATTTGGTTGATAGGTTATGATAGTTGACTGAAAAGTCGTAAATGCTGGTGAAACTTCGTGAAAGTTAGTCAACAGTTTGATTTTTGAAGATGACAAATCAAGGTGGTTTTCAGTGTCCGAAAGTTAAAAAGGTAAACGAAATTTAACGTGTGTATTGGTTGGAATTATAACTACGGCAGATTGGAATTTACTGCCCTCAAGTTCTTTATTCTGTGTTGTTTTGTGTTAACCGGCGGCCATTTTGTTTTCTGTCAATACCAGATTTAGCGCTCTCCTATAGTGATAAAAAATGTGTATGCCAACTTTTCCCTCGAAACGCCCCTCGTATCTTATACAGCTGTAATTCTACAATATCATACCATTTTTAATTCTTTGGTATTATCCGAAGTATCAAATATAAAGTGATTTACAAACTGGCAAGATTAGCTATGACCTGAAATGTTCACTGGTTAGCCAATCAGAACACTATTTCAAGACGCATTAATTCAGGGGTATCACGTGTAGTCGCAAACTGCTCATCCAATCTTGAACATTTTTCAGGTCATATCACGTGTAGTCGCAAACTTCTCCTCCAATCATGAACATTTTTCAGGTCATATCACGTGTAGTCCCAAAATGCTCATTCAATCATTAACATTTTTCAGGTCATATCAGGTGTAGTTACAAACTGCTCATCCAATCATAAACATACTTCAGGGCATATCACGTGTAGTTACAAACTGCTTATCAAATCATAAACATTGTTCAGGTCATATCACGTGTAGTTACAAACTGCTCATCCAATCACAAACAATTTTTCAGGTCATATCACGTGTAGTCGCAAATTGCTCCTCCAATCATGAACATTTTTCAGGTCATATCACGTGTAGTCTCAAACTGCTTATTCAATCATTAACATTTTTCAGGTCATATCTCGTGTAGTCGCAAACTGCTTATTCAATCATTAACATTTTTCAGGGCATATCACGTGTAGTTACAAACTGCTCATCCAATCACAAACATTTTTCAGGGCATATCATGTGTAGTCGCAAACTGCTCATCCAATCATAAACATTTTTCAGGGCATATCATGTGTAGTCGCAAACTGCTCATCCAATCATAAACATTTTTCAGGGCATATCATGTGTAGTCGCAAACTGCTCATCCAATCATAAACATTTTTCTGGGCATATCACGTGTAGTTACAAACTGCTCATCCAATCATTAACATATTTCAGGGCATATCATATTTAGAACGCTGTGACGTTTACTAGTATTTCAGGGATCATTACCATCGAGGAGTTTTATTTTGAGCTTAGTCTGGTCAAAATA